GTCTTTGTATTTTCTAATGAAAATCTTCTATATCTTGGTGTTTTTTTTTGGCATGCTGTATGCTGGAGTGTATTAACCCACTGGTTGTCTCTGGGATGGTGGGCGCTACGATTTTATGGACCAACTCCTTCATATGATGAGGCCCTACAAAGGCACCTCCAAAAGTGCAGCTTTAGCTTTGTGTCCCATCCACACGACAACCTGAGACTGTTTTCTCTGTTCTGATGTAGTAAGAACTGGGGAAAGGTTTTGCTTTTGGGTGAGATAGAGCTTGTTTCCCAGACAACGAGAATGCATGGCAACACTAAGTTTGTTCCCTCAAATTTAAAGTAAAAGACATTAATCTAGCATTGCTGTGGACATGTAGTCCACAGAGATGGAGAAAGGAAGGAAAAGGTACTGTCACTCTTAATAAAACTGGCCAGCATATGTGGAGAAAGAGAAGAATTCATTACCACTAACATTTTTGGCGAATTATACCCATGTTGCTGTTCTAAGTGAACGGACCTTTTTGAATATTGGAGTTCAATGTGTAACACCAAATGCTAATGTGGCTACAGATGTTTTTGTCTGATTTCAGAACCCAAGCTCTCAGAGATGTAGTAGATTGAGGGCTAGATGCCTGGAAACTTAAGTGTCACCGAGATCTTAGGGTTAGATCATTATCTGCAATAGAATAGCAAAGTATTAGCACAGTTCTATTGCAGGTATATGCAAGGCACGAGTCTTGGTCTGAAGACTCAGTGGTGAGCAAGACAGATGTGTTCTCTTGCTCCAATCACACAATTAACAGGGATGCTGGAACCGGGAAGAAGCCTGCAGAGTTCGAATTAAAACAGCTCTCATCAATCTCACAATGCAAGTGTTCCTCCTGCATTACCTCATACAATCTTCCCCAAGTTACAGTAGATTTAGATGTGACACCCGTGAGGTCTCCTGGCTCCTCTCAACTGCCTCGTTTTCTCTGCCCAAAGCGAGGGTGATTTCTCTGCTTGGAAAGATTATATTTCATGTGTAATCCAGCCACCTCCTTTCTTTCTAGTTTTGTTTTGGGGAACACAGTGTGGGATGGACCTGGACTATTAGCAGAGGACCTTTACCCAGCTCCGCACTTCCAGGCCCTGTGGAGTACAGGATCTGGAGGAGGCCTCTTCAGGTTTTGTAGTTGGGTAGCTGAGTATCCTACAAGGATTTAAAGTTAGGAAGCCTATTTTCACATGGATACCAGCTTTCTCATAAATCAGTCAGAGACTGTGTGTCTTCCCGTAAGAGAAAACCATTGCATAAAAATAAAAGAAACAGTTGTATACTATCGAAGCTGAACCATAGGAACTCAGTCAAGTTCTAGCCAATCGGCACAGCTGGGCCTCAACTCACACCCCATCTGTCATGTCACCTAGGAGACAGTGTCTTAAGATAACAGTGATAGAGCCTCCGCCACTATAGCTCAGTTCCTACAATTTGTAAAACTATGTTGTCCAACCGTTGGGCTTTTCGGGAGAGACAAGCAGTGAAATGGGAAGCACGTGGAATTTATGAGATCGGAAAACTTGGATTTGAGTCTGTTCTAAGTAAGTCTTTAACATTTTGAACCTCTGGTGTGTTTGTTTTCCTTAACGCCATACAGTGCATAACTGAGCCTTCAAGGCTGTCGAAGGACCAGTGACTGATCCAACTACGTGGGCTGTAAGATGGCTCTCTGGATAACGGCACCCACAGCCAAGCCCTGTATCCAACTACATGGGCCAGCGAGATGCTCAGGGAATAATGTTCCCTGCAGCCAAGCCTGAGGACCTACATTTGATGCCCTGGACCCGCATGGCAGAAGGAAGGAAGATTGCTTGCAAGTTGTTCTCTGACCTCCACAAACGTATTCATGCTTGAACCCATTCTCTGTAATGGGTACAGAGAAGTCACAACACGCACACACTAAATATAACGGACAACTTTGGTTTTTTACAGGTTGAATTGGCTTTGTATATGTATGGGTGTTTTTCTTGTATGTCTATCAGTCTGTACATCATGTGTGTCCCTGGTGTCCTTGAGGTCAAGAAAGGGTATCGGGCACTGTGGGTTATATAGATGGTTGTGAGCTGCCTTGTGGGTACTGGGCATTGAACCCAGGTCCTCTGCTACAGCAGTGTGGAGATTTGAACGAGAAGGCCTCTCCCCCCCCCCCATAGACTCATATATTTGAGTGTTTGGTTTTTAGTTTATGGAGCTGTTGGGAGGAATAAAGAGGTATGGCCTTGCTGGAGGAGTTGTGTCACAGAGGGTGAGCTTTGAACTTGCAAAGATGATGTAAACACTCAGCTGCCAGTCCATGCCTGCCTGCCTGCCACCGTGCTCCCCACCATGATGGTCACAGACTCACCTTCTGGAGCTGTATGCCCCAATTAAAGTCTTTCCTCTCAGGTTGCCTTGGTCATGGGGTCTCTTCAGGACAATAGAAAGGTCACTAAGGCAAGCAGCGGTCACTCTGAACTGCTGAGCCATCTCTCCACCCTGTCTCACAGGTTTATAGGAAAATCCTCCAATGATAGTTCTCAGGGTTACTATAACTCATAAGCTTGACTTTACTCGTAGGTAGCTGAGGAGTTAGTGGCTAGATGGTTCCTGTTTAAAGGCTTAGGTTCACTCTGCCCACTAAGCTCTTGTTTTGCCAACTAACATTATTTTTTAATCACTTTTATTGTATATGGATGTGTGGCTGTAAGGGCACAAATGACACAGAGTTCAGGTGGAGGTACAACATACAGAAGTAAGGTCTCTCCTTCCACTATGTGAATCTCCCCACTATGGGACAGAGCACAGGATTTCAGACAACCAGGGGACAGAACACAGGTTTTTCAGGCTTGACAGTAAATGCCCTTACCTGCAAAGCCATCTTGCCAGCCCCCAACATTACCTATGTTTTAAAAAACCTCTTTCTATTACTGTTTCCATTCCCATTGGCAACCTTTTTCATTAAGCAATCCCTCTCCCAATAACTTCCTTGTACTCTTGAGCAGGTTTTTAACAGACTTTCCTACTAGGAAACAGCATTAAGATGCTCAGTAACTGGATTTGGGCAAGGATAATGGGCAGGTAATGGGTACAGAGAAGTCTAAGCTATAAGCTTCAACCATAGTATCAGTAAGAAAACTGAGAGAGACAAAGGTGAAGAGCAACTTGTTCAACTGGCATCTTTTCTATGGTTTATTTTAAGGCTTGCACTCTCTGATGCATTAGCCACAACTCACCCTGCGGATTAAAAGAAATGGATTCCGTGCTGCTTCTGCAACCATCTAGTTATAAATCCTTGGCAATTTAACTGTTTCTTATCTATAATGGACCAACCTCTCAACTGTAAGCCAGCCCCAGCTGAATGCTTTTCTTTATTAGAGCTGAGGTGGCTGGGGTGTCTCTTCACAGCAACAGAACACTGCAACCAGTACCATAAGACTTGGAAAGCCAAGAGAAAACCCAGGGGCTTTAGGAGAGATGATTCACTAGTGTCTTGGTTTGATCAAACATCATGATCAAAAGCAGTCTGGGGAGGAAACTTTTTACTTGACTCATGCTTCCACATCCACATCCTATCAATGAAGGAAGTCAGGACAGGAAGTCAGAAAGTGTGGAAATCTGGAGGCAGGAGTTGATTCAGAAGTTATAGAGGGGTGCTGCTTACTGGCTTGCTCCTCACGTCTTGCTCAGCCTGCTTTCTTATTAGAACCTGGAGTCACATGCCCAGGGGTGGCACCAACCACAATAGGCTGGGTCCTCCCTCATCCATCACCAAGGAAATGCTCTACAGTTTGCTTATCGTCCAATCTTATGGAGACATTTTCTCAACTGGGGTTCCCTCCTCCCTGTAGCCTGTGCTAAGTTGGCATAAAATGACCTAGCACAGAAGCTAAGTATGATAGCTTTGCAAAGGAGCTGAGGCTCAACTCTTGGTTCCAATAACTCGATTCACTTGATCTCTTTGGCTTTTTTTTTAATTGGAGGAGAGGGTTTATTTAGCTTACAATTCCATATCACTGTTCATCATCAAAGGAAGTCAGGACTCACCCAATTGTAACAATTTCTTAAATTTGAAATTCCCTATTTTAGGTTTTTTCCAGGCTACCAAATTTCTACTCATTTTTTTTCAAGGCTCCATTTAAATGTCCCTTTTAAGGCAGTGTGTGTAAAACACTCACTGTGTGCCGGCATTTTACTAAGTACACTGCTTGACTTACTTTATGTTCAGGGGTTATCAACCTGGAAAGTGGATATGGTCAACTCCGTTGCACAAATACTCAATGAAGAATCATGTCACTTAACCGGAAAAAGAGTCAAACCAGGAATGGAACCCAGGACTCAGGATCTGAAGTCAGTTTTGTTACCTCCTATCACACAAAGCTCACACATTCCACGGACATCCTTCGTCTTAGATTGTTTGCCTTTGCATGCTCCTGCGTGCGTGCCTGTGTGCCTGCGTCCCTGTTGCTGAGGAATGAATTCAGGACCCAGCTTTTGCAAAGAAAGCGCTCACTCGGCACTCTACTCCCACCGTCCCCCTTTTTAAAGCCAGCGACGATTAAATTTGATTCTGTATGTATGCTTTTCATTCTGTTTCTCAACTGCCTGTGTTCCTTTCACCAGCTGTTAGCTGAGCATTTCCTGTATGTACCGAGTGGCTCTAAGTGCATGGGCAATTTTGTTTGTTTATTTCATTTTATTACTTAAAAGAAACTGTGGCAGAGCTAAAATGTAGGTCAGTGGTTGATCCTAGGCAAACAGCAGCAAAAGAAAATTGTGGTAAAGGGTACGTAAAATGTACCACCGTAGCACTGTACCGCTTTGTTGTGCAACTGTAAATGATTCCGGTCACATTTGGAGTCCCCATAGTTCCTGGCAGATGCTTGCTGACAAGTGGGAAGTTTACCATCTGTCTTAATCCATCAGGTAACTATAACAAAACACCTAAACTGGGTTTAGCTTATAAACAACAGGTTCGTTTCTCACAGCTCTGGAGGCTGGGGAGCCGCGGAAGTTTCCAGCAGATTCAGCATCTAACAGTGGCTGGCTTGACTGACGGCTGTGAGATCGGAAGCCTCTAGTCGATACTTTCTCCAGTGGGAGGGCAGGACAGTTAACTCTGCCCCTCTTGTACTCACGCCTCAACAGAGGTACCACCTCTTAACCCCTTCACCTTGGAGGTTAGGGTTTCAACATGTGGAACCGGGGACACAGTACTGTAACATCGTGTAAGATCCCCAAAGTGTCTTTAACCTGAGATCCCCATGCTCAAGGGATCTCAGTAGCCCTGCCAGCAAAAGGAGTTGTTTCTAAAGCCATTACCCTGAATACGTCTGAAGAACTGTCTTACGTCTCATATCCTTAATTTGATTTCTTGATTTTCAAAATAGATTCTGAATTCACACGGCTTAAGGTTTGCAAGTGTGAAACTAGCAAAACGGATTCGTTTCCAGAAGCGTTTTAGGTGTGTATAAACAAAATCAGACAGTGCCTGTGCCCCACCTTTCCCACAAAGTATAAAACGCCACCACACTCTCCAGAGTCCTCCTCTTGTCACTTCCTGTCTCTTGAAGGTCACAGCATTCCCTGTCTCCTTTTGGCGTTCCCTGGACACGCTGTGCTCTGTGATTTACTTACTCAGTCAACATTTAGATTTTTTTTTCTCTCTTTTTGCTGCTGCTTTTTTTTTTTTTTTTTGCCAATCTTTTATGAATGAAACATTCCTTTCACCAATGACATCTGCATGCATCACTTTACGAGAGTGCAAGGAGATGGGTAAAACAAATTTCCACACTCTCAACTGCTTGGTGAGGGGGGTGTGTCTATAGCTTAGGCAGACATTTTGAGGATTTGTAAATTGCTATTTTTGTCCCTTATTCTCGAGGTCTTGGGAATCAGATTGCCATGACATATGGTATAGAAACTGTTGGGGCAGGACAAAACAGAATCGCTACCCCCACTGCCACCCCTGTTTTATTTCTCACAGAAGGAGAACTGTTGGCCTGGCCTGTCAGGTCATGTCCTGCTTCCTCAGGGTCCCTCCAGTCACTAACCCAGGGTTATCATCACGTAAGTCACATGCTCAAGAGAGTCCTGACTGCTGGCCCAGGGTTAGCTTGATAAGCCTAGGGCTGCCTCTCCACCAGGCTCCAGACAGACCAGGCTCCTTTGAAAGGGGGACGAGGACAGGCAAATACTTAGATTTGCTTATCTATAAAGCAACTACTACCCCGCTTTATTCTAAACGGTCCCTATTATGTGTGTGGCTTAATTATTAGTGGAGTTTCCTTTCACGTTCCCAAGTGTCTCGGACCGGATGACAATTTACCGAGGTCCATAGATGGGACAATCCTGAAAGGAATCTTAGGTTTTGCTAAACATCCCCAGGGAGAGACACACTGAGAGAAATGGGATTTGGGCCTCACTGCCATTGTCTAATGTAACAAAAAAAATATTAAATTTATAACAAATGAACTTCCTTCTACCTAATAGGAGTTAGATAGCTCTGATATCTTTTAAATCCCGTGTATGAGTGAGTCCCTTCTCTACTGACAAAATATGCTGTGGGGATTTGCTCCTCCCCCTTAGGTCACTGAAGAATCTTTTGCACTAACAATCCCTTGACCTCAGCAGATATAATAACCACGTTTGCTGTCCATTTGGCAGTTTGGATGAGGCAAAGGCTTTGCACAAGCGCCTGGCTGGCAGCACCGCCACCCCCATGCACTGAAGATTATGGAGTCTGATCTAGGTGAGAGAACAGACCAGAAGGATGCTTTGAGTTCAGTTCAAAGATGCTTTATTTTGATTCCCTTCCAAAGCCACATGGAAGTAGGGCAAAGGATGGGCATGAATTCAGGCAGCCGCAGCTGTCCCTTTGCCCCCTTTGTTTTCCACAGAGTGACCATAAATTTGGCCGTCTTGGCAGCCTGAAGAGTAAGATGTCTTGGAAGGTCAGGGTTGCCCAGAAATGTGGGCTCATTCTTTCACACTCCAGCCACAGAAGCAGCTAGAAACAACTGATGACACCATATAAGGCAACATTTTACTCAGCCAGCCACTTCATTGCTGCTAACATCCAGCTTCTAGACCTTGAAATGCCTGCAGTGCCCAGCCTGCGGCAATCCTTCCTTATCTACACCTGGGCAGAGCGTGGAGGAGGCTTCCTCTGATTTTGCAGGCAGGCCCGGCCTTGGTCTACCACAAACACACTTAGCCTTAAGTTCACAAAGCAACTCTTGGCGTCCTCCTGCATTAGCACAGGCTAAAGGACATCTGTGTTGATTCTGATCGACTCCCGCCGAGGGCCCGGCTTTCCATTTTGCTAATCACTTTGTCTCCTCTCTTGCTGATTGCTCTTGATTGCAGAAGCCCAGCTCTTCAATTGCTGCCTGATTCTCTTTGTCCCTCAGAACTAGTCCTTCCGCGAAACAATCCGTCCTGTGCACACTTGCAACTCTCATCATTTCCTCTCCATCTAAAATGTTTATTCTTGCACTTTTGTTTCCATCACGGCCTCCTCTTACTCGCTCTTAAAACAATCCTACAGCCTTTGTACTTTCTGGATACAATGAGCTGAGTGTCTGTAGGCCCCCCAAATCTATACACAGCCGTGCTGAACATGACTCGTGACTAAAATGGCCAGCAAGAACTGGAAATGTCATTTGTCTGTGCCAAGCAGGACAGATGAACTCTTGGTTAGAAACATAGGTTAGCTTATATCTGTGTGAGTACATTGGTTTAATGTTCTTTTAAAAGACTGGAACTTTTTTCTTTCCTTTGTCAATCTCTAAGTGAAGGCTGGGTGCAGGGCTTGAATGACAAGGGGGAGATGGGAATACTAGGACAGAACTGAAGCTCACCTGTTATTATCATAAGTGAGAAATTAACATAAGTGAGAGTAAAGCCATAAACCACTAACAGCTCTGAAGGAAAAGGTGGCCTGGTAGTCAGGAGCCGAGGAGTATCACAAAGACACACCGCACAACAAACCTCACACAAGAGATTTATTGGAAGAGACACGGGATGACTGTCTTGACTCAGGCAAGAAGCAGTAGAGAACTCAGCAGGTAACAGGCATGTATAGGGTTTCTTGGGGGAGGAGTTTTCCGGGGTGGGGGTTGGTGAGATGTCAAGTCCTGAGCTTGGAGTGAGCCCAGGAATCGGCAGGATTTCAAGCCCAGGGATTGGTGGGATTTCAAGCTCAGGGATTGGTGGGTTTTGGTGGATTTTCAAACCCAGAAGACAGCTTGGACCTTTTATCCTATCATCAGAGTTTCTTGTTATTAGTTTGACAGTCACAAGTTCCAGCAAGGTGAGGAAAACAACACAGACATATTTCAGATTGATAAGAGGTTAAAGTAGATTTTGACATAATAAGACAGGAGACGTACATGCCAGTTCAGTATGAAGAGCCACACCCACCAAGGGTAACAATACAGGCTCTGAAAAGATCTAGGGTCAGCAACAGTGGGACTCTGAGTTAAATAATCACCCACCCCAAGCTGCTAGCTGGACCCCATTGTCTTCTTAGTATACCTCCACATGAAAGAGACATAGGAAGGGCTCTGTCTCCCCGAGACAAGCCAGCTCAGGTCTAGGTCACCTTGGGAAGCCTTTGACAATGTGCCCTTCTCAACTCTCTTGTCTTCCCCTTTTATGTAATTTTCATCTAGACTATAATGGGTCCATGATGAAAGCGACCCTGTAAAATAAATAGTATCTCTGTTTCATCCACAAGGAAACTGAGACCTGGAGAATCAAGTAATCACCAAGTAAGTGATGGGATTGTGACTAAATCCCATCAGTCCAGCTTCAAAATCCACAGGAAATTGTTACATTCCTGGGCGAATGCTTGGAAAACGCTGCCCTGAAAAGCACTGTCCATTGTGATTGTCAAAAATCAAAATGTATTAACCTTTGCTCAACAGTAACTTTGTTTTCCTAAGGGAGGCAGTTGACTCAAACATCAACAAATGAAAGTATAATTCTAATTTTAACATGAAAATATTTTACTCCTCATCTGATTACACTTTAACTTTTTTTCTCCAAACCAGAAATCAAGGGATATCTGTCTCCTGAGAACTCCAAGCTCGACTCTACAACACACCATTTTAGGATATCCAACAAGCATCGCACGTGGAACATGTTCAAATAGACCTCAATCTGGTCTTCCCCTGATCTTCCCTATACTAGTAAACACAGCACAACAGTTAAGCCATAATCTTGGTATGCATTTTTACTCTTCTGTCTTCATCTGTGTCTGCTTCATTAGCAAGCCAAGGTCATTCAATTTCAGATAGATAGATAGATAGATAGATAGATAGATAGTTTTAAATTATGTGTCTGTGTATATGTCTGTGTTAGTTTCTATACATGCATGTCAATGCCTGCGAAGTTAGAGGCATTAGAGCCTCCTGGAACTTGAGTTACAGTTGGCTGTCAGCCATGTGTGCTCAGAATCAAAATTGGGTACTCTGGAAGAGGAGGCATTGCCCTTAACCATTGAGCCACCTCTCCGGTGCCCCCCAAATACATTTTATGTCAATCACTATCCTCCGTGTATACTGTTTCACCTGATCTGGGTTTATTGAGAGACTTCAGTCTAACTCAAACTTTTTATCCTCTAAATACAATGTTCACCCCCACACTCAAAACTAGAACTTCCCTCCCAATAAATTTATACTTATCATCTCATACCATCTATTTTCTGCTTATATTAGGAGTAGTCTTTGAATGATATACATTGGTTTATGGCATCCTTCTTGTTATCTTCCAAGGGTCAGCACCGCATATGGAATAACCCGCAAATTTCTTCCAAAGGCCTAATATCATCCAGCCCCAGCTGTTTCCTGACCATATGTTTTCCAGGTCTACCCCTACATCTCCCTCTTCAGCTATTGTGATCTGTTCTCCAAGCAGGACAGGCTTATTACTGCCTGGAGGCCATAGCATTGTTCCTTCTCTTTGAAGATGTTTTTCTTAGGATCTTGGGTTGATTGCCAAGGATATTAGGTTTGGTTCTCAAAGCAAATGTCATGTCCTAAGAAAATATTTCCGTAACCACCTGCTTAGAGAACTTCTTCCCCGGCCCATCCTGGGACCATGGTGCCTTTAGAGTGAGGGGGTACAGAAGAGCCACCCAAACAGTGTTGCTTTGAATATTAAGTTCTGGATATGAAAGTGTTCATTGTCCTCTTGACGGAATCTGGGGTCACCTGGGAAAAAGGCCCTGGGGCATGCCTGTGGGATATCATCTTAATTACATTAATTAATGTAATCTTAACTGTGGGGCTATTCCTTAGGCAAGGGATCCCGATGGTATAGAAAGGAAGCATAAGCTGAGCACTAGCACACACCAGTTTGCTGCTCCCCTCTTCTCTGTTCAGGTGTAATGTGACCAGGTGCACCAAACTCTTGCTGCCAAGACTTGCCTGCTGATGCGAGTTCTGTCACCAGGAATCACCTGGAATGAAAAAACTGATTCCCAAAAGTTGTCCCATGACCTCCACATATTCTCTCTCTCTCTCTCTCTCTCTCTCTCTCTCTCTCTCTCTCTCTCTCTCTCTTTCAGGAGCTGAGGTCAAGAGCTCAAGACCCTCCTGTCTTTGTCTCCAGAATGTCAGGATCACATGTGTGAACCACCACGCCTGGCTCATAGTTCTTATTCCTTTACTTTCTGGTTTGTTTATTGCTCCCCGTAAACTGTAAACCTCTACAAAAACATGAGGACTATTTATCTTGTTCACCGCCACATTTACGGCTCTCACACATAGCAGGTGCTCAACAAATATTTGTGAAATGGCTGGGTCCACACAGTGGTTAAGCTCCTAGGAGAGGGGCATCTCCAGGAGACCCAAGGTCAACAAAGCCCCACTCATGGGCAGGACGGTTTATCTCAGGTGCTGTTTCCTGGGGAAGGAAGGAAGGAAGGAAGGAAGGAAGGAAGGAAGGAAGGAAGGAAGGAAGGAAGGAAGGAAGGAAGGAAGGAAGGAAGGAAGGAAGGAAGGAAGGAAGGAAGGAAGGAATTATAAAGAAAGAAAGAAAGAAAGAAAGAAAGAAAGAAAGAAAGAAAGAAAGAGGAAAGAAATTGTATAACCTTCCTCGCTTCTGCTTTTCTCTCTGCTCTCTGCTTGCTGCCGAGCCCCCACCCCACAATGGTGGACATTTAGCCAACTGCAAGCCAAAATAAATTCTTCTACAAGCTGCCATGGCTATGGTATTTCATCACAGCAACGGAAGATTAACTAGTACAGGTAGGGAACTATCCGTCAGAGCCGGACGAGTTCACCAGTGAGAATACACACTGAAGAGTGACCGGCCCTCCTGCGGCACCCATCAACTGGCCACAGTTCACCAGGGAAGAGTGGAGCCACGTGTGCTCCTTTCCCACCCATGATTGACTGTTACCGGGCTCAGTTTTGCGCAGGCGCAGTCCAGAAGACCCCCCCCAGCCACTGTGAGCCCCTCTTACAATGGCTGTGCCTTGCCTTGAAGATAGTGTTTCTCACCCCAGATCCCCATCACCCAGCTCATTGCATTTCAAAATACACTTTTAACACTTAATTCATGGATATCAAGGAGAGGAGGCAAAGGAGCATGCAGGGACGTATTGGACAGCAAGAAAACTTCTGTTCAGCAGGGGATTCAAATGAAGATTCCACTGAACAGCACATATGCATATATTTGTTGGGGAAATGAGTTCTCAAAAGCATATTTTATTATATACAAAGGCGACAATTGTAAAGCAAGGACATTTGCTAACTTGAGGGTGACAACAGCCCTCCCAAGGGGATAGACTGTTGCCTTATCCATCCTAGCCTCTATCTGCCCACGACAGCCTTTCATATGTGATATGACGTGTCAGGCTTCATGTATGAAATGACATTTTCTTCAGAAGGCTTCTATGACTGATGTCCTATCATGCTAGCACTTTCCTTTTTTTTTTTTTAAACCTGTATTTTGTGCTTTTGCTTTCTCCTTCTCTACTGAAACCCGGGTCTTAAATGTAATCTATTAAAAACAGGGAAAGAATTGCTTGGGGATGGGGCTCCGGCTCCCATGGTGGACCACTTGCCTAGCCTCTGGAAGATCCGGGGTTTCAACTTCAACCCCACGAAATAAGATAAAACAGAAACCTTTCTTTCTCACCTTACTGGGGTGGAGCCTTCTGCCTGTGTTTTCTTCTATTTGAATAACTCTTTTCTACTGATAATTACGACAGTTGTGGCAATGCCGTGGAGAGGCAAGTGAGATAATTATATTCATACTTATACCCCTGCCTTCATGACGGGTGTCGATAATGAACACTATACAAAAGCAATAGTGAGTCCACACACACACACGCACACACACGCACGCACACACGAAAGGAAGGGAATTAAAACAGTTGGATTTTCCTGAACCACCGGCATGGCACGCAGCAGCCTCACTCAGGGCTCCTCAGCCCAACCCCGTTCTGCACCCGGTCTGAAGTGACAATCACCTATCATTTCATCACGCCTCTGCCCGTGAAGGCTACCCCGTCATCAGAAATCAACTGTGCTTCATCAGCTTCAATTCAAGAACCTTCGCCACCCATCTCCTCTTCTTGTCAAACATCAAATGGCTCTGCTTCCTGCCTGGAAGCTCCGCACTCGCTCGTCCTCAGCCTCCTTCTTACCGCGAGACCTGAGAGGCATCTGCCTGTCTTTGTAACCGCGTGCCTATTGCGGTCCCTGTGGCTCTCCGGGGCGGTGGCCATGTTGGTTCTGCTGTTCCTTCTCGCCCAAGGGGCTTGGATTAGTCTTTTTTTTTTTCCCTGTTACTTTGAAAGCTATTACTCAGTTCATTACAGGACTAGGGCCTTCTCATCAGCTGGGATTCAGTGTAAATGCCATCTGCTCGAAGATATGTCCTCGCCATCCTCCTAATTTATTACCACAGCTACCTTGAATACCCTTCTTGGTTTTATTCTATTTGTGGTCTTGTATGTCATTTTCCAATTGGTTGTTCTCTCTCTCTCTCTCTCTCTCTCTCTCTCTCTCTCTCTCTCTCTCTCTCTCTCTCTCTGTGTGTGTGTGTGTGTGTCCTGCATAAACAACACACACAAATCTAGAGCTTAGTTTTCTTATCTGCTTCTGTATATCTGTAGCCTAGAACAGTGCCTGGCACACTTAATAGCTCTGGCTGGCCTAGAGCTCACTGAAGACCAGACTGGTCTTGAACTTACGTACAGTGGCTTGTCTCTGCCTCCTAGTACTGGAATTAAAAGGTTCCTGCAATCATACCCAACAACAACAACAACAACAAATATTTTTCCTTTCTCATTTGCTTTGCATGTGTATTGGGGGGGGGCACACATGTATGTGTAACTACTATGCAAATGCCCTTGACGATCAGGTATTTCCCTCCAGGGCTTCCCCTTATATGTTGAGACAGGTCTCTCACTTGAACCAGGAGCTACCAATTAAGTTAGTCTAGCTAGCCAGCTTGCTCTGGGATAGGAGCCACCAACCACACTGGGTGTGGTGGTGTGAGCTATAAAGCCCGGCCCTCACTGCTTTTACCTGCCGAGCCACCTCACAAGCTCCACAATGACATAATTTTTACTTCCTAAATAAGCCAAGCCAGCCTCCAAGCCAGTGGTTCTCAACTTGTGGGTCACGACCCCCTACTCCCCACCTCCACCTCCATGCTGGTCATATATCATATATTTACAGTGTGATTCATAACAGTAACAAAATGGTAGTTATGAAGTAGCAATAAAATAATTCTATGGTTGGGGGTCGCCATAACATAAGGAACTGTGTTAGAGTCCCAGTATTAGGAAGGCAGAGAGACATTGCTCTGTGCTGTTTTGCGTTATCTATTTGCACACTCCCAGCCCTGCATTTTCTTTCTTTCTTTCTTTCTTTCTTTCTTTCTTTCTTTCTTTCTTTCTTTCTTTCTTCCTTCCTTCCTTCCTTCCTTCCTTCCTTCCTTTCCTTCCTTCCCTTCCCCTTCCTTCCTTTCCTTCCTTCCTTTCTTCCTTCTTTCCTTTCCCTCCCCCTCCCTCCCTCCCTCCCTCCCTCCCTCCCTCCCTTCCTTCCTTCCTTCCTTTTATTTCCCTTC